AATATATACAAAAATAAATATATTCACTTAAATACTTACTGAACACTTGCTCAATAAATGCCAGGCCTGGTTGTCACAATGCATAGGGACAAATAGAAAGATACTTCCTCAAAACATACAACTAAGGGATGTAAGATGCTCGTGTTTATTTTTACACATAAAAGTGATAATGGGTTTCAATATTAGGAGTACACATTTCATATGGCCATTTATCTGTGGAGTTTCAAAATAAGAAATTAAAATGACAGGACACTCACAGAACACCAGGCATTCATTTCACAAACCTTGAGGGAAAAGTGTAAAGGAGCATTGCTAATACTTGTCCAAAGATTACTCATATATATATATATATACACACACACACACACACACATACATACAGTGGGGCTGGTTTTGTTTTTAATCAGAATATTTGAGTGTAGGAAGACCAGCAACATGCCAGAAGAAATAAAGAAACTTCTGGGTAAAAAAGTATTAAAGTATCTAGAAAAATTTGGTGGTGGCTAGATTCCCCACCCCCTGCTCCTTTTGCTTATGGACAGAGCTAAAATAACAAAGTGAGGCTACACAGCCATACATCTGCTTCTGATTTACTGTCTTAATCTTGTCTGAGTTGGAGTCATTTCTAATCTTCAGAGAAGTTACAGAAGGAATTTATACAAAGGGTGAGTACATCACTAAATATACACCTATAAAAACACATCATCAATAGAATGTAGGTTAAGAAATATATACAAAAATTCTGATTAGAAAAATTATCAGGTGTTGGGGCGCCTGGGTGGCTCAGTCAGTTGAGCGCCCAACTCTTGATTTTGGCTCAGGTCATGATCTCAGTGTTGTGAGTCAAGCCCTGATTCGGTCTCTGCACTCTCCATGGAGTCTGCTTGGGTTTCTCTGCCTCTGTCCACTCACCCCCAACTCACACATGCTCTCTAAATCTTAAAAAAAAAAACAAAAAACAAAAAAACTATCAGGTGGCTCTTCCATTTTCTGAGTTGTGCCACTCATTCCCCAGCTGATAGGTTATTACTGATTTCAGGATCTCAAAAGCCCATCCCTTGGTTCATCTTGGTTTCTTACTAGAGGGAGTGACACTTGCCTTCTCTACATCTAGAATTAAAGATGAATCTGTAAGTTATTCTCTATTTTCCTTCATAAGAGAGTGTTAAATTTCCTAGTGCTAAACTGTTACTTTCCTTGAAGAACTGCTTCAGTAGGGTCCAAGATGGAATCCACTTAAGGGCTGGGATGGTGTGTTAAATTTAAAAGGGCATTTTGCATACGGTGCATGCTTAAATCAGAATTCTAAACCGTTTACAACATGTTTTCTAGTCATCTTCCTTGCCTTATAAAAGCTATGTACACACTCCCCCAATAAGATTTTTCTTAACCTTTTGAATTCCTTACCAGACCTTATTTTTTTTTAAGATTTTGTCAGACATTATTTTAATTTTTTAAAAGCACTCAAAACAGTGGTCAAGGGCAATTCTTGTAATTCATTTTCTTCTATTAAGAAAAAAAAACTGAGCAGGTCACATTAAGCTTGAACTATTTTGACATCACTTTTCTGACTTCATTTTTATAATTTTCTCACCAAACCTGCAACTGCTTTCCTAAGATCAGAGCCTTTTCATTATCTAAAATGTCATTATTTAGTAAACATTTGCCTTAACACTGACCTTTGTGGTTACTTTGTTGAAAATCTTACTGTAATTTGACACAGCATTAACTACTCCTGATTACTTGTCTACTACATGGGTGATAACGTCCACCTTTCAAGAAAGGAAGACAGTTCAAACACAAAATTTGACAAAATTAGGAAATGGCAACCTCAGTTCTAAGAACAAAGGAAAAAATCTGAACGGGGAGTTGACATTTCTGCCTAGTGTTAGGTAGCGTTCTTTAAAGACCACAGACAGCACACACAATGTAGGCGGAAACAATACATCTGCAGACACTGGCAGACAGCATTACCCGCCAAATTTGGCCACAGTTTCTTAAGATAAATAACTTTTCGGTGACACGCAGGGCTGAAATCACGTAAACAGCAGAAATTACTAAGACCTAAGCCTACATGTCTTGTGGGTTTCAAGATTTTACGCAATCAATATTCTGACATCTGTAACATCATTTTGTTCCTAAAATGCTGATGCCAGAAACATGAGATTAACATCACTTGATGACTTTTGTTCAGATTTTGAAACAAAGTTTCATTCTTTGGAATAATCATTCTTGAGCCACATTTTTATTTAGGTCATTAAGACAACCATAATCATCTCCATATAAGGAAAAGTTTCATTAAAAATGCTACAGAGCTGCAGCCTGTTTCGAAAACCAATACTTGAAGCTTGTTATATTAATAGTTCTAAATGTCTAAGGCTTATTAAATGAAAACACCCTTAACAGTTTTATCTCAAAGAGTCTGAGCAGTAAGAATTTTAAAAAGCTGACAATGAAAAATAGCTGAATATTCTGGGAACTTCCATAATAATAGGAAATGGCATTAACTAGTTACCTTCTTCATCTTTCCCTAAAAATGACTATTTTGACTAATTACAATCTTTTAGACTGATATATGCCATTATTTTTTTTTTTTAAAGATTTTATTTATTTATTCATGAGAGACAGAGAGAGGCAGAGGGAGAAGCAGACTCCCCGCGGAGCAGGGAGCCCGATGCGGGACTCGATCTCAGGACTCCGGGATCATGACCTGAGCCGAAGGCAGACACTCAACCATCTGAGCCACCCAGGCGCCCCGGCGATATATGCCATTATTTAGAAGGCTGAAAAACTTGAATATGCGTATGGAAGCGCCTAATTTATATCTATATAGCACCCAACACTCCAGTGGGGTTGAAATTCCCTGAGAACTAATTTACATCACTGGATGGCTTTTAACACAGTGGCTCCCTTTACCTCCCACCTCCCCTTGCATAGCAGCCAAGTTCTCTTCTGTGATATTAATAAAAACTTCAAACAACCCTAAATATTAAACTTTCTTTGAGAACATCTCCTGCCCTGCACTTTTGGTAGTTAAATTTTTCTTCCTGTTAATTTTCTTAGAATATGTTAACTTGATTGTGAAATCACACCATGAACTTTTTTTTTAGCTAAGACTTCTGATTACTGAGATGACTTACTGCTTTACTATCTGCTTATAAATTTCCTATAGATGAGGTCAATGAGCACCTTTCTATAACAAAAATCTGCTTCCATCTTTCACATACTAGTTGAGCCAGGTCAATTTTTGTTAATCTACTGCCTACTATTTGCTGGAGAGAGCATTCATCAGTCTCAGAAGGAAAATATTTCCAGTGATCAATATTTTTTTTAAAGGGTATTTTTCAAATGAGTAGTCAGACATAAAAAATATAAAAGAATAACTTTATTAAACATATAAATTCAAGAACATTCAAGTTTTGTTGTTTTTACAGATTACAGTATGAGAAGACAGCACATCAGCGGTAGTGGTTTCTGTATATACTATACTTACCAAAGAGAGTAGGTGGACATACTGACTTGAATGCACAAAATAACAATGTATGTTTTATATCCCTAGGCTGTTTCTATACTCTATCCCTACTAAATGGGAAACTGCTCAGCAGATCCATACCCCTAGACTTATCTCCCACAGAAAGAGTTTGATATATTGTCAATGATATTTATCATTTTGGAATGTAGTAAGCCTCCATCTCTGGTCCTCTTCTACTTTACCCACTTCTCTCTCTCTTCCCAACACACCCAAGACTCTAGTAATCAACCTTCTCTGAGCAGGACCAATTTAGTTATAACAGGATATAGAGATCCTGATGACACTATGCAGAGGAAAAAAATCTCCAACAATATTCTCAAGGTTGTATTTATTTTTCCTTTTAGCCAGCTACCTAATTACACCGAAGACAGCGAGAAAAAGAAAACCATTTTGGACTATCAGTATTCACCTTGGCTCTGCAGCTTCCCTTTAAACAACCAGTGTACACAGTGAGTTCCCAACTGTAAACACATGCAATATTTAACAAAGACCCAGAAACTTTGTGGAAAGCACCATATTATTTCCAAGGAGAATGTGTTAGGTGGGGAAAGAGAAAGTGGAAAAATCAAGAGAGAAACCATTAAGAAAAACATGGCAATTCACACGAAATATGCTTTAACAAAATACTTTGAAAAATGGATAAATTCAATTTTAAGTGATATTACCCCCAACATTTTCTCGTTAATTGTTTTAGTGTTCGGAAGTATAATATATGTCTCTAGAAGAGGAAATGATCTCCTTTACCTACAGAATGGTTAGAGCACCAGCACCAGGTCGAGTTTTCCAGAAGTACACATAGCTCACAGTTTAAAGAAACCAGTAACATCTTTTGACTCATTTAGTCCTGATCACATCCATTAATTTTAAGACTTACACCTGAAACTCCTATGTACTAGGCTGAAACAGCTTCTTTTTCTGTGTATGGCAGTGACAAGTAATTAGGGAAGCTAAAGATCTGATTCTACTTGGGTAGATCTAACCCAAAGATCACGTAGTTAGCCCAAAGAACTATCCCAGGCATTTTAAGTAATCTTAATCCGTATTTTAGAACCTGCCAAAGAGCAAATACTAAAATTTTAAAATAAATTATTCTTCCTGCTTGCCCTGGTCTCCAATCAAGAAGTTACAGCTATTACAAAGAACTCTTTTTCACCCCGTCTCATAACACAAAACATCAAACATTACATGATGAACGATAATCACAAGCTCATATCTTTAAAAAAAGGGTGCAACAAAGCCTCTTCTGCTGTTATTCTTGAAGCTGGATTTAGATCTAGAAGTTTATCAAGCAGGTCGTAAGCTTCATCAGGTACCTCATTCCAGCCTTCTAAATTGGTAGTATCCGTATTCAAACTACCCCCACAGCCATTACTGTCCCCTTTATATAAGGAATTCCCTGAGTGCTGTGCTTGAGGTGTTTGTATAAGGTGAGAAGCTTTATGGTCAATCTTCTCTGAAAAAGTTGGGTCACGAGAAGCAAGCCCCTGTATATCACTTGTTAATTTGGGAGTCTTAGAATCGATACCTCTGAGCTTCTCACAGAGTTTTCTCAAGTCTTGTGCTGGGACTTCTTTGCTACACAATATTGATTTGCCTAAAAAGGAAAAAATACATGTATTTTATATTATCTGAATATATCAGAATCATAAGAATCTCTCATAAGAATCATGCAAGTCCAACCATGCACTTTGTGGATATGTGTGTGAGACAGAGCACCACATGCTCATATTTAAGTTCTGTTTTGTACTACATAGTAGTAAGTAGAAATCACACAAACAGGCAGTAGTGTATTATCTTGGCCTTATATTTCCTTTATATTAAACAGAAATGTGGGGGCGCCTGGGTGGCTCGGTCGGTTAAGATGGGACTTCAGCTCAGGTCATGATCTTAGGGTCCTGGGATTGAGCCCCATGTGGGGTTCCCTGTTCAGCTGGAGTCTGCTTGAAATTCTCTTCCTCTGCCCCTCCCCCCACTCTCTCTCAAATAAATAAATCTTGAAAAAAATATTTTGTTACAGACCATGTCAGGCATTTGTTTTAGCTCAAGGTTTTTCTGAATTTCTTTGACAGAACTCAACAAGTACTTGATGACAATCCACAGTGGGGCCAGCTCTATGAGTTGAGGACAGTGAGGTAAGTTATACACAATAGAAGTAAAAGTACTCCCACTGCTAATCCCAAGCAAGTCATTTCTTTGGGTCTTAAAGGAGAACTGTGACTACTGAAGTTTTGAGTCCTTCTGTACTCAGCCCAAAGTTACAGTAAGATTTGACTGAAACAGCTGAAGAAGTCCTACTAATAAAACTGAGACAAGTACTACGTGGCATTATTATTTTTCTAATATGAGAACAAGCATTACAATGATAAACTTTTAAAAGCCCTTGCCTGCTATCCTGACACTTAGCCCAGAATGTTTTTGTGTCGCATGTTGTGATTCCATTGTTGATCCTCATTCTTTGACTACAGATAGGGGAGATTTAAGCTCTTCAACAAAACGTTTTGGTGTTCACTCTCTGATAAACTTCATGTTCATAAAGTTCTCAGGAAGTTATTCAACAGCAGATGAAAAGTTTTCTCAATCAGTTGAGAATAAATATGTGTAAGAATGTCTAAGAATATAATTTCCAAGTTCTCAATCTTGCCTTCCATTTATTGTCACTTTCCCTTTGTATGTGTGTACTATTTCACCGTATTACCTCAGATAAAATTTTCTTATAGTAGGTGCAAGAAAGCTACAAGTTGTGGATTGACTTTGATGCAGAAACACTTTTTGGTAAGCCTCTATCACAAAGCTTTCTTCACAACCACGACCAAGTTTTTCTGATGGGATTAGACCGTAGCAGTGGTGTCTAAGTAAGGGGCAATCATTTTTGCAGTGGTTCTTTGAAGTTGTTCTTGGTCAAAATCACTTGATTTTTCAAACAAGCCTGGACCTTCCTATCATATTTTTCTGAATCTTATTTTCCAGGAAGGAGTGGGGTGAGAAAGTTCCTCAGATAATTTTGATCTGGACCCCTGATGGAAGACCCACTGATCCTGGGGCTGGGCACAAAGCAGCCCAGCTACTTTTGAAGTGGGCTGCCTGAAATTTTGTCCCACACGGGTGTCGTATATCATGTGGTAGCATGCTGACTCAATCACAGGCACCCACTTTGGGAAACATTAACTATAATTGTACATGGAGAATAAATACAAGGTGAGCATTTGATTTCAAGTCATTGGCCAGAACAAGGCTGAGATAATTCTCAGGTGCCCTATGAAGTACACTGCATATCCCAGTCTTGGAAGTGTAAGAATTTGGATAGCTAAGGAGAGAATTTCCCATGTCCAATATATGCTTACAATAATAACTCCATCAGCAAAGGTGTTCTGCTCATTTCTCCTCTTGCTACCCTAACCCTAAGGAATCTAACAACTAACACATATTTTATTAACTGTTTATTGTTAGTATAGACTAAGATCACTTAAGGCAGGCCCAAGAACACCTGATGCTTAATAAATATATAATAAATTAAAACATACTATTAAAAATATATAATAAAGTCAAACCATAACTACAGGGAGTTATTCCTTATTTTAAGATTATAAAGTTGAAGGGGCGCCTGGGTGGCTCAGTTGGTTAAGCGACTGCCTTCGGCTCAGGTCATGATCCTGGAGTCCCGGGATCGAGTCCCGCATCGGGCTCCCTGCTCGGCAGGGAGTCTGCTTCTCCCTCTGACCCTCTTCCCTCTCATGCTCTCTGTCTCTCATTCTCTCTGTCTCAAATAAATAAATAAAATCTTTAAAAAAAAAAAAAAAGATTATAAAGTTGAATTTTAATTTAAATATTTAAATAGCACTTTGTGCTTGGTAAGATTAAATGATTATATAGAAGAAAAGTGATAAATTATTTTCTTACACAATGCAATTAATTTTAGAGCAAGAGAAATTTTGTACCTAACATCAGAGAATTTTATGAACACAAAATATGTTTATTTGTAAAGAGAATTTCGTAATAATTTGATTTATAGGAGATAATAAAGGCATTTGTTTTGTTCTAGAAAATAAAACTGCTTACCAAAAGTTTTAGCAGCTTGGATAGTTTCCCTGGATCCACGAATTGTCATAATTTGAGCCAAAGCAGTTAAATCATCACTTGCTTTATAAAATGGATATCGCCCACTAAGCAAAGAAAGGAATATGACACCTGCAGACCACATGTCAATTGCTGTAACAGAAAACAAACTTTAAAAAAAAATCCCAAATCTGTAATTTTATCACCAGTAGTCAGTTTATATCAATGTTACATCCATAGTTCTCAACTTTTGTTGTGCAAATTATCTTGATCCTTACAAAAATTCTGATGCCCAGGCCCACTCCCTCAGAGATTCTGACTTAATTGTTCTGGAGTATGGCTCAGGCATCAGTATTTTTTTTTTAAGTTCCTCAGATGCTATAATGTGATATCAGGACTGAGAAACCCTGGTCCAACATTCTTAATACAAAATACAATGTCTTCTTTCTTAAGCAACATGTTAGTAAGTTTAAAGGATATTTCATCATTAGAAAACAATAAGTAGATATGTATTTTATAAGATCAAAAGAAATCCAAAAATAGCTATATGGGAAAAATCTGGATGCTCCTCAAGAATTACCCACCATAGTGAAAGTGGTTTATTTTAGTGAAAAGTACTGAACATCAGAAGCTTTTCTTCAGCCAGGTACTAACCCTAACTTCTGCTATAGAAACTTTAATCTCTAGAATTCTGGCAATTAACATTAAGACCAGCCCAGGCTCACATTTAGAAACTATTTTTTTCTTTTAGGGACATCTCTCCTAATTGTTGACCTCCTAGTAAGTCCCAAGTTATTTGCTCTCTATTCCCTTGGCTTTTGTATCACCTGCCTTTCTTCGTTCCCTCTGTACATCTGCTTCCTCCTTCGACATTCTCTCCAAGCCTTAAGGCTGAGGTTCCCCAGAGTTCCAACCTCTTCTTCCCCTGTATACTCTCCCTGATTGGATCCATCTACCTCATGGCTTTAATGATCTTTTCTGCACTGATGGCATTCAACTATGTTTCCAGCCCGGACTTCCCTGAGCTTGACTTTTATTCTGTTGGACATTTCTGTGTCTCACAAATATCTCAAGCCAATTATGCCCCAATCCACCTTATCTTTCCTTGTAAACCAGTTGTTTATTCTCCACCTTTGTGAATGATACCCATTCAAGTCCCCTAAGCTAGAAATCTGATAAACATTCCGGGTGCCTTTTCCTTCACCATCCCAAACCCAAATCCCACATCCAATTATCTACCAAGTTCCACCTTTCCAATCCTTCACCTTTCTTTTCATTCCTATTAATGATGCCCTCATTCAGGCTTTCAGCATCTCTCACTTGGACCACTGTAAGCCACCACTCTCCAAAACCTATCCACTCTGTATACCTGCCAGAATGATCCAGTTAGAACATAATTAATACCATGTCTTTCCCTTGAATAACTTTCCAACACTTACAGGATACAGTCCAAGCTGTTTAACATGTGTGATTTGACTTGTCTACCTATTATCAGGTTTATTTCTCACCATTCCTTCACTTCCATCTTACATTCTAGCAACACTAAACTTACTGTTTCCTATATGACTAGACCATTCTGTTTCTTGAGATCCTCTGCTCATTTATCAATGCCAACCACCCACTCCAATTTACATCTCTTCTCAGAGGTTCCCTCTTCTGTAAATTTCCTTCCATATTCCCTTCAGGTAAGAACAGTTAGGTATCCCAAAAATACCTTGTGTAAAGATTTATAACCATCCTTAACAGGTTATTAATTATTATTTGGACAGTAAGCACTTTCATTCATTTTTTTGTATCATTAGCAAGTTAGAATATACACAATGGGTGAATGTATTTCTCTGAAGTCCATAATCCAAGCGAATGGTAGGATTCATTTACTCAAGACTTTTCCTGGGTTTTGGCTCCATGATAACTTTTGTAGATTATAAACCTTTTCCTTTTTTAAAACTCTTGAATGCTACCGTATTATTTTCACATTAACAAAAAATAATTTTAATCACACACACAAGCGCATCACAGAAGACTTTTGGGGTACTGGGCAAACAGATAAAATGCTGCCAAGTCTCAAGTTAGCAAAGACTACTAAACACAATTTTTCTTCCAAAACAAAATTCCTGGCAAAAATCATCTTGTAAATAGATAAGCAAGGTGTAATCTATAGGAAAAAATTTGTTACCAAAAAAAAAAAGGCAACACTAGTAGAAATTTTCATTAATAGCATGATCTCAAAAATGGGACTGCCACACTGCTAGAACCACTTATATAATTTATTAAAAGCAGAAAAACACTAATATTAGTAAAACATAAAGATCATAAAATATACCTGCGATAACCAATTCTAATTGAGTTCTGTATTTGTAGTGCAACATACCTGTAGTTTGATTGGGGCACTTTGTCAAAACCTCTGGTGCTCTGAATCCCGGTGTACCTGCCCTAGGGGCAACCTGTTGCCGCCTTATGATGATGAAATAAGATTTTTCTAGTTATGTTAAAGTTTATTTAAAACCAAAAAGTAACATTTATTAATCTATTTCACAGTAAATTCTGCCTTGATATCTATATAAATAAAAGTTATTTATAAAGCAAAAGATAATCCAGTGTGATGAAAATCCTAGATTTTGTTTCTACTGGTCCCTTCCCCCTCTACCCCACAAATAACCAGGCCGTATTCCAGAAAAATTTTAAGGTAACTTCCAGGTATAAAAATAGGTAGTAGATGATAAGGACCCTAACAGAAAAATGTAATACAACAGAATTCAGAGGTATAAAAATTCATTTCTGTTTGGAGTGATATCAAAGTTTCTGATATACTTATTCTCATATATTTGGGTTAGGAGAGGTTCATGAAAGCTCATGCAACTTTTGAAAGAAAGGAATTTATGGGGCTAAGAGTAGGAAGTGGGAGTGAGAGAGACACTATTATTTGGTTCTGGTTATTCTACATAGGTGGGAATAAAGAAAGAAAAGATTAAATTAGCAAACAAAATGTGTGATTCTAAGGTTCCAAAAAAACTACCCCTACCCCCACCAAAATTATTGGCATATAAGAGCAAAGGTGTTTTTCAAAGAGCATGTAAATGTCAAATGAACAATACATGACAATAGTTATCATTTGCTCTTCAAGGTACCTCTCCCGACATCAGCGTGTGTTGTTTCTTTCCTCACACTAAATCAATTACCCACCAAAATCATTGCAATTTCTAATCTTGTCTGGCAGCATGCTGGTGATTTTATAGCACCATCAAAACACATTACCTTGAAAGGCAAATACTGCAAACTTTATCTGTTGCATAACAGTCACAGGTCAGGCTAGCTGGGCAAGAACTGGCAGTTTTCCTCATCACACCACTATTCATAACTTTTGTAGAAATAGCCTTCTTTTTTGTTGCTAACTTTCTAGATAGTACATCCCCAGTCTTTGACTGCTTCATAAGCTGTAAAAGAAAAGTCATATTTCCTATTTTCATATTTAACATGATACCTTCAAATGCTAGTATGGCAAAACGTTAACAGTAGAAACATAACTTTTAAAACTGCCGAATGTGCTGTTGGATTTTAAGTAAAGTTGTCTATTAAAGTATTTTAGATCTTTTTAGGTTTTCCTGTTGAATAAACATTTTAAAATTTACTAAATAGTCCTCAATTGGTAAATACTTGACTTACACTTTATCAGAACTTTTCCTGATTTATGTTACGAAACTATAACATAGTTACGTTCTAGTGTCTAACTCCATTTCAGAACTGTAAACTGCACAATTACATTGGCTAAAATCAGAGTTTTAATTTGTTGCTCATGCTACCTAGCTGTTACAGGATATTGTAAGTCAATTTAAAACCATTTAACATTGATTACAATTTCGTAAACTTGACAAACATCTTTACACTATCACCTGTGTGTCAGAAATGTGTTAGTTATTAGGAGCTCACATTCTAGCCAATGAGAGAAAAGGCCTTAATGTTCTAAATGTTCCTTTAGAAAAGAGCAACAAGTCAGCTAACCAAAAATGATGAAAAATTCCACCAGAAAAGTTCAGGAAAAAAAAAACTGGAGAAAATAAAAGTGTTGACAAGATGCTCAAAGCAGTTAATACCGTCTGCCACAGCAAAACTCTACTTTTAAAAACTTAGTGATAATAAATACTAATCTACCAATCCCTAAATTCTCTTCACTGTACGACTGACTGATGATTGCACTATTAAGCTACATTACTTACTTTCACTGCAGGGCTCTCATGTGAAATGGAGCTGTGTATATTGAAATTTCTTTCTCCAAAAACAGAGCGCTGGACAGAAAGGCCTACAGATCCCTCCTACAATACCAACAAAAACAAGGAAAATAAGGATTATATCTGTAACACTTTCTGCCAGCCGTACTCTGCCAGTTTTGAAAGAGTTAAGTGACATGAAACAAAAACAGCTGCATCCAAGTCATTTTCAGGCACCAAAACACTTCTGTGAAAGGAGAGAATAGTCTAGACAGAACTCTTAACACCCATACAATGTTAATCATAATCCACAAATAATATATAACTAAAGAATTTAAAAACCACCTGCATGGATGTTACATTTTTGCTGTGCAGCTAAAATGGAGATAGACACTTCAGAATTTTTCCCCTATAACTAATGTTTTCTTTTAAAAAGGATAATTAATCTGAACTTTAGAACATGCAGGGAAAATTTGTTATTTTCCATATTTGTTACATAACGTAATGACAGAGACATTGTAAATCTACCAAGTAATTTCAGTTTTGAAATGGTAAAACAATCCATTATAAATCTTAGTGGAATCTAATCCATTTGATGTGTAACACATGTAAAAATAATTTTTTTAATTGCAAGTATTATCCTAGTATTATATCTCCCTCTGTTGGATGAGGAAGTACATTTCTAAAACCTTATCAGTATTTAAGAAATAAAAGAGATAGAACCTTTCCATCTTTTCCTTGTTTAATCTGACTTTGTGCATTTGTGTAGGGCCTTTTAACAGAAGTTTTCATGGTGGACTGCTGATCCAACTCCTTAGGTGCTGCTGGTCCACTCAATGAAATCTTGTTTCCTGTGATTACATGGGATTTATTTTGTGAACAGCTTTCCTGCTGAGCCTCAGACTGGACAAATTTGAGAAGCTCTATTTTCGTATCATGGGTTCCTTGGGCCAAACCAAAGTCTACCAATGCGTACCTAAGACAGACAAAAGTAAGCATTTTTACTTCTTTGTAACAACTAAAGCTTAATAACATCATAATACGCTCAAGTCATATTCATACAAAAAGTTAATTCTTTACGGGATCAATTAAGAATTTATAACATTCTTGAAAAAAGACAAGAAAAATGAGTTTATAGACAAGGTAATGATTTAGTAGCTAACTAGGCTTGAAAATTAAGAAATGATACATCCCATACACACACAAAAATCTTTCTGCCCTTTCTCCAATGGCCTGTGCTAACAAGGCAGACAAGGACTGCAGGATAGAAGCCCAATCCTTTGTTCTCTTACAATGGCAGAGATGGCATCATAGTAGATAATTTTTAATTAAACAAGCTTAAAAAATTTAAAATCATGTGTTTAAAATTGGATTTAATTAAAGAAAATTAAAGAGACAAGTCAGAAGTATAAAATTCAAGAAAAGAAGTTATAATTCTATACTCCCTACCATTCTCAGTGTGACCGATTGTATACTGAACAGTATTAAAGTTAGGTTTTCAGCTTACAATGTCTCTATCCATATAAAACACACACACACACACATATATAAACATATACAATATAAATATACATAAAAACACAACTTTAGTGTTGAAACAGGAAATTGGCTATCATGTGGGCAATCCTCTCCTTTACTAGAAAAGAAAAATGAAGCCCAGAGATAAGAGCAATGTGAAGGTCAAAAAGGCCTAGACCTTTTCGAAGTTTTTTTTAGCTAAGTGCTATTTCCACTGAACCATGGTATATCTAATGATGTACACTGCTTTACCAATACAATTTTATCTCTTCTTTCACTGTATTTCCGTTCCCCAACCACAATGAAAATTTGAAAGAAAAAAAAAATCTGTGCATGGCTGTTGCAGTATGTTCTGTATCTCCGAGATGAACCCCATAGCACAAATTCTTTCAAGTGTAGTTATTTTCTGGTAACTGTTCATACTTACTTTTTCAGGCGCCTATTATATAAAAAATTGCTGGGTTTAACATCACGGTGAACAATACCAAACTGATGAATGCGTTTCAAAGCTTTGAACAGATTAAACATATATTCCCGTACTTCTTGAAAGGAAAGAGAATTCAAAATGTCCTAAAATAAAGTTATGAATAAGGTCATAGAACTGTTTTCAATTAAATATTTAGCCAATAAAAATTCAAGTATTAAAACCTACCAAAAAGGACTCATGCTCCAGATATGGCATAGCAATAACCACATGATCATTTTTCCTAAAGCAGTATTTAACTCCCATGACATTGTCTTGCCCCCTAGTGGAAAAATGCATAATGAACTTTAGAAGAAAGGTCAAATGAATTGAAATTTTGTGCTCAGTTTCTTTAAAAATGAAATTTTAGCAATGCATAAATAATGCTAGAAAACTACTTAAAACCAACTTGTAGGATAGTATACATGTTTAACCTGTACACGATAAAGTTTAAAAAAGAAAGCACCAGTTATGAGCTTACTATAATAATTCAAACATGAGATAATTATAGTTTTAAATTGGGGAAATGACAGAATGAGAAGCACAACATGAATAACAAGAATGAATTAACAAGTCTTAGTAGCCAATAAAATGGTAATAATAAGTTAATTAAAAAATAATAGCTAACATTTATTGAGCATTCACTATGTCAAGCTTTGATTTAAGTAAGCACTTTACATTTATTAACTAATTCACTGAATCCTCACAACAGCTCTATCAGGACAATGCCATTATTTCCTCCCCCTTTTGTACAGATAAGGAAATTGAGGCACAGAGAAGTTCAGGAACGTTCCCAAAGACACTAAACTAGTAAGTCATGGAGACAGGATTTGAATCTGGATAGTCTGCTCTAGATCTGTGCTCTAAATTGCTATGCTATATTGCATCATAAAAGATGAGGAAAACAGGGTAAAGCTGACTTCCATGGTTTTGAGCCCAATTAGTAAAACAACATGGATACCAACAAAGTATGTGGAGAAATCAGGAAAAGAAGCATTGAAAAACAAGACATTTTGATAAAAATTTCTAGATACAAAATTATATCTTATGTGAGAAGTGAGAGGTCAGTGACAGTACTTGAGAAGTGATACCTAAAGCTCTGAAAATGATTTGAGAGAAAACCTGAGTCTTGGAAAAGTCTCAAGTTGGAGGGCAAAATAAGGAAGAAGAGGCAGAAAGCCCAGAAAGGGATGTCACCCAGATGAGGAGTTTTAGAGGAAGGTAGTAATCAATATGAAGGTCATGAGAATAAGGACTGAGGGAGGTCTTTTAGTTTGGCAAAGAGGAATTAACTGGTGATTTTTCAGAAAGCAATTTAAGTGGAAAGGAAGAGGCCAAACAGGACTTGAGGAAAAACAGGATACAATGGAAGCAGAACACTCAATTTCCCTGAAATATCTGGCAAAGAAGAAAAACCAGTGTGGGAGCTAGAAAGGAAGCAAGATCAGATAAAGATTTTTTTTTTTTTAGCATGCACTTTTTTGAAGTACTCAGAAAGGAAAAATGGTAGAGAAAATATTTAAAATATGGAAAAAGTAACAATTTTATTCAAGTGATTAGAACATATGTAATTCTGCCTTAGAGAGGCCATCTCATCCTCTTGTCTGCTCTAATAAACAGAGGGGTGAAACAAAGAAATAGGCTTGTCCATTCATCCAATAAATATTTAGTGGGCACAGGTATGTGGCAGACATTATGTTAAATATTAGTAAAGGGAAGGTGAATTAAAATTAACATGATTTCTGCCCTCATGGAGTTTATTATCTAATGAGCAATAACAGATAATAAAATAACACATGACAGATTATAAGGGTTTTGAAAGAGATCAAAAGGTGCTGTGAAAATAACAAATAAGTGAATCTAATTTAATTCAGAAGACATCTTTGTTTTTTGTTTTTAAGTAGGCTCCAGGCCTGGAGTGGACCCCAACTCGAGGCCTAAACTCAGGACCCTGAGATCAAGACCTGAGGTGAAATCAAGAGTCAGATGCTTAACTGAGCCACCTGGGTGCCCCTCAGAAGACATCTTTGAAGTGGTGCCACTCTTGCTCAAATCAGAAAGAAGAGAGGTCAGTATGCAAAGACTGGGAGAGGTCTTACTGGGGAACAGTATGGGTAGTGACACTAAGATGAGAAAGCTTGAGACAAATTTGAGGAACTAAAGAAACTAGAGCACAGAGAGAGGGAGATGGGAAGAGTGGCATTGAGAGTGGTATTGATAAGGCTGGATTTTTTTTTTTTTTTTCCCAAAGGACACTGGAAAACCACTGAAGGATTTTAAGGGATGGAACTAACAGTATACAATTTACATTATATATATACACACACACACACACAAATTTTTATACTTTAAAAATCACTCTGGCTGTTTTGTTAACGATGGGTTTCAGGGGGAAAGAGAAGCAGCAGCCTAGTTTAGCAATCTAGGCTCGGTCTGAGGTAGTGGTTGAGAAGACAGAAAAACATGGATGGATTTTTAGATATATTTTGGAGGTAAAATGGCCAAGACCTGATGATTGATGCCAAAATGAGCAGATAAAATAGGCTGTTGCAATAGGGGTTTTTGGGCAGGCAAAGGAGTATTAAAATTTAGTTTACAGAATATGTTTGAGATATTTATTAGGTGCTCAAGTGGGTATGTCAAATCAGCAGGTGGGTATATACAAATCTGCAGGTAAGAGGTCTGAGGCAAGACACATACTTATGGGAATCCTTACCATACATTGAAAGCCACATGGAAATACATACTACCTACAGAAGAGTCCGGAGCAAGAAAGCCCAAGATCAGGCACTCCAACATTTAGACGTCAGGTAGAAGAAGAAGAACTGGCCAAAGGATACTGAAAATGAAAAGCCAAATAAAGCAGGAAGAAAACAAGGAGTGTGTGGCAGTACAGAAGTCAAAAGACAATGGTTCTAGGGCGCCTGGGTGGCTCAGTCGTTAAGCGTCTGCCTTCAGCTCAGGTCATGGTCCCAGGGGTCCTGGGACCGAGCCCCACATCGGGCTCCCTGCTCGGCGGGAAGCCTCCTTCTCCGCCTCCCTCTCCTCCTGCTGTGTTCCCTCTCTCACTGTGTCTCTCTCTCTGTCAAATAAATAAAATCTTTAAAAAAAAAAAGACAATGGTTCAAATCAATGATGTTAAACACTGCCTATGTTCGTATGAACAGAAAAAGAAAACTGGCAAAACGGAAGTCATGGTTGACTCTATCTAAAGCAGCTTCGGTTTAGCACAGAGGACAGCAGACACTGTGAGTAGTGAAGGTAGGGTGTGAAAGTGAAAACAGTTTATGTAGATCATTTTTGGGAAGTCTGGCTGGGAAGGGCAGCAAAGACTTGACGGAGCAGCTGGAAGAGGGATGGCAATACAGGGGCATAAGAGATACCAGATCATGTACCTTGGTTGACAGGAATGACCTAGAAGAGAGAGACCAATAAGAAAGACATGGCAGATGTTTCTGTTGTTCAAAATTAAAGTATGAAATGAGGCTGTCAATAGCTGAGGAGATATGAAATATGAATTCCCCACATTTTAAAAAATATCTAGATCATGGTTTAGGATTTAGCAGGAAGATTAGAAAAAGCGGTAAGAGAACAGGAAGTCAAGCTAAGCCTCAAGGGTAATCCACTCTAAAAATATAAATTTAATTAACCATCCCAACGTTAGAGGAAAAACGCTACCAAACTGCAAACACCTGACTGAAAAATGTTTAATTCATGGATAACCTCATCATCCCTGTTAGATATCCCTTAAAAAATCTTAAAAATTATACACAGCCAGTTCAATTAAAATATCTTTAAATTACCTACCCAGCCACTGTTAGGCACTGAAGTTCAGCTGCAATTCTTATAGGATGACTTGTTGGAATTAAATGTTTTAAAGCAATTTTCTCTTCAGGTCCTACTTGTAACTGTGCTGTGGCCAAATAAACAGAGCTAAAAGTGCCTGTAAAACAATTTATTAGATTTTTCAATATTTGGTTTTTAAAAATGTCAATGAAACGATGCTAAAATAGATCCTAAAAACTGTTTGGAATCCATAAAATTATCCTAATCATTAATATATTTAATGATATTAAACACGAAGAGTAACATTCATAAATACAACTTTCAATTTTTAATAAATTCTTAACTGTTCTCAGTTCTTTATAGGGTATATTAATTTACCAAAGCTCTACAGCAAATCTATTTGCCTGGGTTAAAATAAAATTTTTCCATGGTCACAATCCATTCTAATAACTATTTTTCTATAATACTGTCATTTGAAATTACTTTCTTATGACGTGGATACAGGTCTGTTAGAAGCAGAAATGTTAATAGTCTTCAGGGAAAAAAACCTACAAAAACACCTAGGCTTTTAAATTCAGCATTAAACGAAACAGAAAACATAAAAGAGTTAGTGGCCAGTTAAATGTGAGAAATACTGAGTTAAAACAAATTGATAAATTTCTCTACTACAAAATTTTCCAGAGGTTTAATGTGTTTTAAGTACATCACGAATAACCAAAAGGGAGCTATACCTACTACATTTTCCAACTTATTTAGCCATAGAACACCCTCCTCCTCCTTCCCCCCTCCAAGAATAGCTATCAGTTTGTTAGGAGGACACCAGTGGATTCCAGAACAGAGTTCTGAGCACTAAGTCAGAACACACTGGGATTCAGTCCCGCACCCTGTTCAGTGCAGAGTTTCTTCTCCCTCTCCCTCTACCCCTCCGCCCTGCTCATGCTCTTTCTGTCTGAAATAAATAAAATCTTTTAAAAAAATTTCTAAAAAAACAAAAAAGGTAAGGAAAAGATGGAAAGATCTACTTCTTACATCCCAAATCATCTCATCTTCTAATTCTTTTGCCCCCAATGACCCAGCCTTTTCTTGTCCGACGCTTTTCGTTGTCAAAAGCAAACAATGAAGTAAGTGGAAGGTTTTTTGTTTTTAACTATTTAGGCATTTCCCAATATAGCCACCAAAAACTTCTATTATCTTTTACCTTCTCATTCACTTCACAATTGATACATTTACCCTTCATTCAGTCAACAAGATTGCCAGTCTCTCAATGACATTTATGTTAACACCATTCTTTTTTTAAAAATTTATTTATTGGGGGGGGAGGAAAAGAGAGAATCTCAAGCAGACTCCCCACTGAGTGTGGAGCCCGATGCAGGGCTCAATCCTTCGACCCTGAGCCGAAACCAAGAGTCGGACACTTAACCAACTGAGCCACCCCAATACTATTTTATAAACATTGTACCAGTTTATTTTCATCTATTTTGCCACTTTAGGTTTCATACATGTTTCAATGTACAGTTCTACCTAACTATAATGGAGAAAGGAAAAGGAGCTGACTTCCTTTGATCAAATTCCTCCATATGAATTTACAATTTCTCATTTTTAATAATTATTATTAATGATATATTAGTATATCAATACTTTTAATGGTATAACAGCATAAAGATTAAAATAGGACTATTCATTTTACTGTAAATACTTATTCTTTCACTCTTTCCAGGGGAAAATGAAAACCTGATGTCATAATTAGTAATATGACCATGGTCTTAATATTTTAGAAAGGATATACTTTTCAATAGGAAATAGTAATGAAAATCAAGATTATACAAAGGAAAATGTAAGGAAAAGAAACTTATAAATAAAGTATATCTCTAAGTTACCTTCTCCAATTTTGTCCTTAATCTTAAACAGATTACCAAGCTGTGGTACAGCTTCATAAAGCTTCTCAATATCTTTTTTAACACCTATCAAGGAGGAAGAATTTATAGTTATAATTAATGAGAGTATATTTTATACTTTAAGTTAAAATCAACTCGAAATAAATTCTAAAACAAGAGTAATTAAATTACAAATTTAAAAATTGCTATGCTAAATCTCAAAATCATGATAAAAATACTTAAAATCCCATTAAATTGCTGTAACACACACACCTCTTGAACAAACAGATAAAACTGGTAAGTCCCAGAATCACACACATCAAACTGGTATTATTCTGGAATTACATACTAGCAGATACACTGTCACTGCATAGAGTACAACACAATAAAGCAGCTAAATTAAAAAACTAACAATTTGTCCTGTGATCACTAGATGGCATGACAAGGACATAATGCAATCTTCTTTAAAACTATTTCTTTCCCCCAAAGACACAAAATCTTACAGGCTTGGGAAAGTTTTATATATTGAATATTCACAGTGTACCTCCAAGAGAAAAGTCTACCAAAGCTCTCAGGAATGTTAGAAATATTTTTAAAGAATTGTCCCAATTATCAATAGTATCCTCTATCCTTGAGAGCAAATACGATAAATTGCTACTTTTAAATAAATATAAGCTCTTTGCAAAAATACACGTGGTTAAAATAAGGAGAGGCAGTAATACCTGTTGTGATAAACTACTGGATATAAAAGAAAACTACATACTTATTAAGAGTCATTGGATTTTGGGAGGGAGGAGCAAGATGGCAGAGGAGTAGGAGACCTAAATTATGTCTGGTCCCAGGGAATTCAGCTAGATAGGGATCAAACCATTCTGAACACCTACGAACTCAACAGGAGATCTAAGAAAAGAATAGCAGCAACTCTCTGAACAGAAAAGTGACCACTTTCTGGAAGGTAGGTCGTGCGGAGAAGTGAATCTGAGGCGATATTCGGGAGGATAGACAGCGGGAGAGGGGGCCTCCGTTGGCTGCTTCTGGCAAGTGATAGAGTAGCGGAGCACAAAATCGGAATTTCTAGAAATCTGCTCTGCTGGGGGATGTCACTCCAGTGGCTAAGCAGGGGGTGGAACCCTTGCTGGGACAGTGGGGTCTCAGGACCCTCGGGGTCACAGAAAGACCAGGGGTGCCTGAGTGTGGCAGAGTTCCCAGGGATCGGAGCAGGGAAGCCGG